CAGCCCAGGGGCAAGTATAACCTCTCTCCACCCCAGACAGTCCCGTTCTTTGATATAGACACTGTGAGTCAGGATGAGTTAAGTTATGCTTCAGTAACAAACCCTCAAATCTCAGTACTTTGACACATCAATCATTTTTTTCTGGATCACACAAAGTTCCCTGTGGACCCAAATGGCTCTCCAGGCAGTTGTCTGCTGTGCTTGCCCCTCCAAGCTCTGTTATCCTGTGGCAGCCCCATAGCGACCTGTGCTTCCACCATTGTTGCTGCAGGGGAGGAGAAAACCCAGCAATTCTCACCTCCTCTCTCAAGTGCCTTCCTCCTGAAGCAACTCACATCCCTTCCAATCCCATTTTATCAGGCAAAGCAGGTTCTGTGTTTCTGCTTTACCCAAAAGCAGTGGGGATGGACAGTCCTGCCACATGCCTGGAAGGAAAGGAGAACTAGAAATAATAGCAAGAGCCATGAATATTGACTCAATAGATGTTTGGCGTTTTCTCACTCGATTATAAATTGCTGCTGCAAATGCAGTTTCAGTCCCAGCACCCTGTCCCACCAAGTGACTGTCCAGAGATTCTGGAAATACTCTGGCCGCAGATGGTCTTTGGAAATCATTGAGCCAGCTCTGTCTTAGACAAGGCAGAGAAAGCAAGTTCTGGGTGCTTAAAGTGAGTTGTACCTTCTGGACTGGAGCCCTTACCCTGTGCTTTCCCCTGCACTCTTCACATCCAGTGATATTCAACAGTGGTGTTGAAATCGTGGGTTCCTCAAGGTGGAGAGTGCCCTGGGAACCCCCTCATCTTTCAAGTGTGGAAATGAGGCCCGGGGAGTGTGCGTTCTTTTGGTCCTTGTGTTTTATGTCTTTCCCAAGGTACCTGCAGTTCATGATGAGCCCATTGCTGGATCTGCTATCTATAGTTACTGATCCTCCTCTGGGAGCCTAAACAACCCAAGCACAGTGACTTAGCTTGTCTGGTTTTCCATTCTAATTTGGGTTCCTTCTAATGCCCCAGCCTTATATTTGGTGGTTGTTCAAAGCTGCCCACTAAGAAGGATCTTCATGACCTTTTTCTCTCCAGTTTTTTTGGTGTTTGTTTCCAATCACAGGGATAAGAAATGGGACATTTTAACAGCTGTCATTACAGGGAATATGCTTTTACTTTTTTAGAATGAGGCCAAGAAATTTCATCTCATTCTCCAACACTCCCTTATCCCCACTTCCCAGAGTTTTCATGACATATACAATCATGCGTCTCTTAATGACAGGGATGCCTTCTGAGAAGTGTGCCGCTAGGCGATTTCATCATTGTGTGAGCATCATAGAGTGTACTTACACAAACCTAGATGGCACAGCCGACTACACGCCTAGCCTGTGTGGTACACCCTGTTGCTCCCAGCCTGCAAACGTATACAGCACGTTCCTGTACTGAATACAAGGCACTTGTAACACAATGATATGTATTTGTGTATCTAAATGTATCTAAACATAGAAAAGGTACCGCCACCTTTCTATGGTAGGACCACTATCATATATGCAGTGTGCCATTGACTAAAGTGTTGTTATGTGCTACATGACTGCATAAGATTTTTGGCTAGAGGCAGTAAAATGCAGTCCATGTTTGTACTTGTCTAGAATCCCAAAAGCTACAAAAGGTGGCACAGACTCTCATCGGAATGGCTCTGAGAGTGTTCCTCACCCCTGAACTCGTGGGCTAACTGTGGCCCCTCAGTCCCTCCAGACCATTGTAGTTGGTTCTAACTTTTGAGACACTGTGCAGCTTGAGGCTTCCAGAGCCTGAGTTTTTAAAGTATGGACTGGATGAGAATCATCTGAACCATGGGCTAAGAATGCAGATTCCTGAGCCAGGCACCAGAGATTCTGATTTAGTGGGCCTGGGCTGGAGCCCAGGAATCTGCGTTTTTAACAAGCATCCCAGGTGATAGAGAGCAGTGTTTTCTTTTTCGTTTTCTTTTTCTTTTTCTTTCTTTTTTCTTTTTCTTTCTTTTTTTTTTTTTTTTGAGATGGAGTCTCATGCTATCACCCAGGCTGCAGTGCAGTGGCATGATCTTGGCTCACTGCAACCTCCATCTCCCGAGTTCAAGTGATTATCCTGCTTCAGCCTCCCAAGTAGCCAGGATTACAGGCACCTGCCACCATGCCCAGCTAATTTTTTTTTTTTTTTTTTTTGAGACAGAGTTTCACTCTTTTTTGCCCAGCTGGAGTGCAATGGTGTGATCTCGGCTCACTGCGACCTCTGTCTCCCGGGTTCAAGTGATTCTCCTGCCTCAGCCTCCTGAGTAGCCTGGGACTACAGGCACCCGCCACCACACTCAGCTAATTTTGTATTTTCAGTAGAGAGGGGGTTTCGCCGTCTTGGCCAGGCTGGTCTTGAGCTCCTGCCCTCAGGTATTCTGTCCACCTCGGCCTCCTAAAGTGCTGAGATTACAGGTGTGAGCCACCGTGCCTGGCAAGGAGTCTAGGGTTCCTTATAGATGCCAAAGACTGTCGTGCCAGGGTGCGGCAGAACTACAGGGGAGGTGTCTCACCTTCAGCCAGAGCTCTGCTTCGAGCTACTTTACAAATGAGGCTTCAGCCTCAGGTTTGTCCTGCTGATAAAAATAAATAACATGGAGTAAAATTGTTGGGACCTACAGAACTTTTGCTCTTCAAATCCCAGGCCAGTGGGTCTCAGCAGAGGCCTTTGTGCCTGTTTTCTACCAGGCACTTCAGACCCAGAAGCAAGGGAGGCATTTTACTGCCCTTCTCGGCTTTCATGGCCTTATCTGGACCGTGCTTTGTGAGTGAAATAGCTTTTCTCTTAGACCCCAACAGAGACTGTTCAAGGTCAAGGAACTTGAATTTCCACTTTGACAGTCAGCAGTGGCCCTTACCTGTTACCCTGCAATGGGCGGGTGTTCCCGCGGAGCTTACCTACTGCAGCTTCCAGTGTCTCTGTGCGTGAGGATTTTTGTCCCCTAAATTGGAAGGCAAGAGTGTCTCTGGGGCCTCAGGTTTGAATCTGATAAATTGAAGGGATAAAGGTGACTGTCTCTGGGTCACCGATACTCGATACTCGCAGTGCTGACAACCAAGGGTGCTGATTACGGGAAAAGAACTGGAGGAACAAGGGCAGATGTGTTACATTGTGTGTAAATGGTGTTTTTCCTGTGAAATCTCAATACATCCCTGAGGACACTGCAGTTTGGGTTTCTGAGCCACTGTCCTCTGATATTTACTCATTGGGGATTTTACTCTTGAGAAATCACTGTGACAACAGAAACATTTTGCCTCCATGAAGACGATGTCAACGTCTCAAAATCCAGGACATTTTAAGGCAGGATTCCAACCTCATTACTGCCAGAAATAAAATTCATCCAAGGTGGAAGTGTCCTTTTTTAGAACTCAAATCCGTCTCAGAATTGCCTTTTCTTTCCCCTTTGTTTTTGAAGCTAAGCAATTACTCTTTTTTTTTTTTAAGGAAAAAAAAAATTGTGCAAATGTACAAAACTCTCTTTTTCCCTCTTTCATTTATTTGAAATTGAACTTAACAAAGTCAGTTCCGAGCAAGCACTATATATGAGTAATGCTTTTTGTCCATAAAAGAGCATTGACTCTAGTGGAATGGGAGTGCTGATTCTCGCTCCGCTTTGTGTGAGCGTCCATAATGACAAAGTACTCATGTCAGAGTGTATAATGAAACTATAAATTATTTTCATGAATGCTCTGAATTTGGTCTTTTACGGGGCAAATTCTAAAGGTATTTAGTGCCACATTTCACATATGTGAATAATACCAGACGGTGCAATATATCCAATAAAAAGTGAAGTGTCCTATTCGGGCCCATGCTGGCCAGTATGGTGGGTCAGACTTAGGTGAGGGTGGCTTGCGGTGCAGGAGAGTGAGCAGAAGGAAGGATGCCACATCACTCTGAGGCAAGAGTTCCAACCAGGTGTACTCAACTGTTTTGGGGGAATTCAAAATGTAGCTAAAATGCTTAGCTCCTAAGATTGGTCTCTGGATGGGGAGTGCCTGCATTTGAATCACAGGAAAAGTTAAACACATCAGGGCCACGTTAGTGGACAAATTTGCAAGTGAGAAAATAGCTGATGGGTTTGGTGGGCAGTTGCAATCTATTGCAATGATTTATGGTTCAATTCAATTATTTTTACTAACTTTTTTGGGCTTTTTTTTTTTTTTTTTACAAGAAAAACTATATGGACCAGGCGTGGTGGCTCACGCCTGTAATCCCAGTATTTTGTAAGGCCAAGGTGGGCAGATCATCTGAGGTTAGGAATTCAAGACCAGCCTGGCCAACAGAGCCTGGCTGTCTCTACTAAAAATACAAAAATTAGCCGGGCATGGTGGGTACGCATCTGTGGTCCCAGCTACTTGGGAGGCTGAGGTGGGAGAATTGCTTGAACCCAGGAGGTGGAGGTTGCAGTGAGCCGAGATCATGTCACTGCACTCCAGCCTGGATGACAGAGCAAGACTCCCATCTCAAAAAACAAACAAACAAGCAAACAAACAAAAAACCATATAGGTTTACTCTGGAAACTTAGAAAACACAGAAAAGCATCAAGAAAAGTTTTAAAACCTGGGTAAATAATTTGACTACCAAGAGATTATCGTTAGTAACATTTTAATAAAAGTTGTATTAAATATCTTAATAAAATTGTACATAATCTTACCTGGATATATAAATCCTTTATAAACAAAATTGGGGTCCAGTTGTCTACCTGTTTACCCGTTTATGCAACTTTTTGAAACGTTCTGGTTTTTGACTTACTGTCCAAGGTTTAGGTTCTGTCGTGAGGGCACTGTATGTTAGCACTGTCGAAGCCTTTACGTACATGTCATTTGCTGAAAAATATCTCTCTGGGCACATGAGCTCTAAAAATGAGAATGGCAAAAATTCTCCACAGGGTGTGTGAGGTACGTTGTGTGTTAAATGGAGGCCCATGGATGTTTTTAACCTGTTGCCTGGATTTTTTGCTTTGTAGTACCTGGTGTGTAAGAGGAAGCTGGAGAGCAAGAAGGAAGCCCTGCTGATCCTCTCCAAGGAGCTGGACACCTGTCAACAGGAAAGAGACCAGTACAAACTCATGGCCAATCAGCTCCGGGAGCGCCACCAGTCACTGAAGAAGAAGTACCGAGAGATGATCGTAAGTGTTAGGCTGCCCTGTTCAGCCACTTTCCTATTCCCTGAATTAAGATATAAAGAGATTTTCACATGCTGTTTCTTTAGAAATGGTTAAATGTAAACAGTTCAAAGTGGAAGAATTTAGAAGTAAAAGTCACCACCTCTATTTCCTCCACAACCCAGTCCCACTCACAAGTTAATCTCTCTCTCTGTGTGTGTGTGTGTGTGTGTGTGTATGTGTGTATGTATATGCTTCTTGCTCTGGCATCTGTGAACATATACGTGTGTGTTTGCAGTAGGCTCCCCAGCTTATCCAAGGGAGGCATGTTTCAAGACCCTCAGTGGATGCCTGAAAGCACAGATAGTATGAAACCCTATATATGCTGTTGTTTTTTTAATCTGATAGCCAAATCAGCTCCTAAGTGACTAGCGAGTGGGCCACATAGACATCGTGGATACCCTGGATGAAGGGGTGATTCACATCCTAGGTGGGATGGAGGGGAATGGTGCAAGATTTCACCACACGACTCAGAACAGCATGCAATTTAAAATTTATAAATTATTTATTTTTGAAGTTTTCCATTTAACATGTTTGGACCATGGTTGACCTCAGGTACCTGAAACTGAGGAGAAGTGGGGACTACTGTATGTGTGGCTGTTTATTTGTTAATTTGATTATATAGAGTTCTTCAAAAAGAGGATTCATAAGTCTACAGTAATACAGAGGCCACTAGCTACAGGTGGCTACTTAGTTTTAAATTAATTAGAATTAAATAAAATAAGAGACTGCATTCCTCAGTCTCAATGTCACATTTCATGGGCTCAGGTGACTGATGGCTGCTGTATTGGGCAGTGTATATAGAGAGCATTGCCATCCTTCCAGAGAGTTATATTAGGCCAGATGCAGTGACACACCTGTAATCCCAACTACTTTGAGAGGCTGAGATGAGAGGATTGCTTGAGCCCAGGAGTTTGAGGCCAAGCTGAGCAACATAGTGAGAACTGTTCTCAAAAAAAAAAAAAAAAAAAAAATTCATGGAGAAATAAAATAAATTCCAAATTTATTTTTAAAAATAATAAAACATGCTGTTTTCCCTCAGCACTTTATTTTGGACATCTTTCTAGGCCTACAGATCTAACTCATCCAGATTTGAATCATCCAGATTTCTAGGCATACAGATTTAACTCAGTCTTTTTTTTTTGAGACGGAATCTCGCTCTGTCACCCAGGCTGGGGTGGAGTGGTGCGATGTCCGCTCACTGCAAGCTCCGCCTTCCAGGTTCATGCTGTTCTTTTGTCTCAGCCTCCCGAGTAGCTGGGACTACAGGCGCCTGCCACCACGCTTGGCTAATTTTTTGTATTTTTAGTAGAGACAGGGTTTCACCGTGTTAGCCAGGATGGTCTGGATCTCCTGACCTCGTGATCTGCCCGCCTCACCCTCCCAAAGTGCTGGGATTACAGGCGTGAGCCACTGCGCCTGGCCTTTAACTCAGTCTTTTAAACAGTTGCATGGTAATACACAGTATGGACATAGCCATACTTTTAGTAACTTTTCTCGTATCCTGGGCTTTTTTATTTTCTCTAGGTTTTTATATGGCAAAACTTTTAAGGTGCAAATGATACTGAAATGGAGAATGCCAGCTGCATAATACTAGTTTTCATTCTTGCTGCTTTTGAGGCAATCTCTTTTTTAAGTGGGACACTATTACTGACATTTAACTATCTGCGCTGGCATTATTAAACAGCCCTGGAGTAGAAATAGAATAGAATAGATTCCTCAGGTTAAAATCATGTTGACTTATATGTGGACAGCATCAGATATTAGAGTGCTCATTTAAGGAGCATTCGCTTATTCACCTGAGATATTCGTCTTCCCTGATAAGGCACAAAAGGGAGAGGAATTGAATCCTTTTTTTTTTTTTTTTTTTTCAGAGACAGAGTCTCACTCTGTTGCCCAGGCTAGAGTGCAGTGGTGTAATCTCTGCTCGCTGCAACCTCTGCCTCCTGGGTTCAAGCAATTCTCCTGCCTCAACCTGCCTAGTAGCTGGGATTACAGGCACCCGCCACCATGTCTGGCTAATTTTTGTATTTATTTTTTAGTAGAGACATGTTTCAGCATGTTAGCCCAGCTGGTCTCAAACTCCTGACCTCAGGTGATCTGCCCACCTTGGCCCCCCAGAGTGCTGAGATTACAGGTGTGAGCCACCACACCCGGCCTGAATCCTTTTAAGGCCAAAAAAAAAAAAAAAAAAAAAAAAAATCTAATAGGACTAGAAGTTCTCAATGTCTTCTTAACTTTGAGCAAGTACTGTCCCTCCCAACATTGATTGTTCTGCCCATAGAGAAAACTCTCTCTCTCTCTTTCTCTCTCTTTTCCTCTCTCTCTGTGTGTGTATGTGTGTCCCCATCACTGTTCTTTGGTTCTAACTATTTAAAGGAGGAACTCAAACCAAATGAAATATTATTTCAGTTTAGGCTCTGATCAAAAATAATTTTGACAAATCCAGTTTTTTTATTCAAATAATTTTAGAAAATATATAGATTTGGTCCTAATGGGATTGATTCTCTAGAGGTTTTTCCAAAATAACTCTGGTTCAGTTTGTAGTTAATTTTTTAAAGTATATTTGAGCTTGCTTCAGCACATTACTGGCTGCAGGGTGGGGAGGGTGGGGAGAATCTACATTTAGGTTCATCATTTAGTTCAACTTCTTGTTTCTAAGTACATCTATATTTTTTTACAGAGTAAAATGTAGCATGTGTTTCTTTGTAGGATGGAGATCCATCACTTCCTCCTGAAAAAAGGAAACAGGTAAGACTTATTTCTGATCTCAGATTGTTTTACTGATAACTTGCAGCAATTGGGAGGATCAGGGAATGTCATAATGTAAAGAACTTCCTTTAATTTCCTGGAATTCTTTCTGTTATTGGGAGGAGTGGGTAGAGATTCCAACTGCAAAGAGAAATTGGGAGTGGAGTGAAGGAAACCCAGTGAAGTCTGGATGGGGGAGGTACACCAGTTGACTGCATTCCCCTTCTTGTTGGGAATCCTGATGGGAAATAGAGTTGAGGGCACATGGTTACAGGACTTGAGCTACCTACTGTTCAGTGGGTACATGCTGCGGGCATATACCATTTGGTGGGTGCATACTGTTCAGTGGATACACACTGTTCAGTGGGTGCATACCATTCAGTGGACACGTACCACTTGGTAGGTACATATCATTGTGTGGCTGTATACTCTTCTATGGGTACATACCATTTGCTGGGTGCATACTGTTCAGTGGGTACATACTGTTCAGTGGATACATACTGTTCAGTGGGTGCATACCATTCAGTGGACACATACAACTTGGTAGGTGCATATCATTCTGTGGCTATATACTCTTCTATGGGTGCATACCATTTGGTGGGTGCATAGTGTTCTGTGGCTGCATACCATTCTGTGGGTACAGACCGTTCTGTGGATGTATACTGTTCAATGGACACATACCATTCGGTGGGTACATCCCATTCTGTGGGTGCAAGCTGTTCTGTGGGTGCAGACAATTTGGTGGGTGCATGCTGTTCTGTGGGTGATTACCATTTGGTGGGTGCCTGCTGTTCAGTGGGTGCATACCATTTGGTGGACACATACCACTTGGTAGGTGCATATCATTCTGTGGCTATATACTCTTCTATGGGTACATACCATTTGGTGAGTGCATACTGTTGTGTGGGTGCATACCATTCTGTGGGTGCATACCATTCTGTGGGTTCCTGCTGTTCTGTGGGTACATACCATTTGGTGGGTATGTGCTGTTTTGTGGGTACATACCATTTTGTGGGTGTGTGCTATTTTGTGGGTACATACCATTTGGTGGATGCATACTGTTCAGTGGGTGCATACCATTCTGAGGGTGCATACCATTCAGTGGGTGCATACTGTTCAGTGGGTACATACCATTATGCAGGTGCATACCATTCAGTGGGTGCATACCATTCTGTGGATGCATACTGTTCTGTGGGTCTATACTGTTCAGTAGATGCATATGGTCCAGTAGGTGCATACCATTCAGTGGGTGCATACCATTCTGCAGGTGCATACCGTTCAGTGGGTGCATATCATTCTGTGGGTGCATACTGTTCAGTGGATGCATATGGTCCAGTAGGTGCATACCATTCAGTGGGTGCATGTCATTCTGTGGGTACGTGCTCTTCTGTGGGTGCATACCATTTGGTAGTTGCATACCGTTCTGTGGGTGTATAACATTCAGTGGGTGATACCATTTGGTGGGTAAATGCCATTCTGTGGGCACATAATGTTTAGTGGGTGTATACCATTTGGTAGATACATAATATTTGGTGGGTGCATGCCATTCTGTGGGTGCATACTGTTCTGTGTAGGTTCTGCCACTTCACACTCTTAAAAGCCGTCTTCCATTAAAATTCACATGCCTTTACTTTCTTTTGTCCTGCACCGTGGCCAACACTGTTTATTGACCAAACCAATGGTTTTAGATGCACATTTTTATCATCAAATCCTTATATATATGTGGATCTTCTTCTTAACTCTTTGTTCTGTTCCTTTGATCTCCCTGAAAAGTCCTGTGGTTCTACCACATTATTCTTATTGTTTTGCTTTATAATACTTCTGATATCTTTTTGGGCTAACCTTCTTCGCTTTGCTCTTCCTTTTTAAAGGTTTCTTATTTGTTACTTTTCTCAGATAAAACCTAGAAACATTTTATCAAGTTCTCCTCTGATCCTTCCCACACAAATCCTACTGGTATTTTGATAGGGGTTTTGTTAAATTTATAAATTAACTTGGTCTCTCTCTCTCATAGATAGATATGTTCTGTGGCTTTATAATTCAAAAATTTACATTGACTAAGGAGAATCTGATGAATTCCAGTAAGTCTGTTAAGCTGCATTCTTACAACTCTAAAAATGCAAGTTCAATGACCTACACATTGGCTTTGTAGCATTTCAAATTGCATTAAGTTTCTATCCCTTTAGGATTGAGAGTGTGGTGGTGGGAGCTTGGCCTCTGCAGGCTTTCTGCCTGGGTTGGAACCACTGAGTCACTCTTTCTTATACACGTATTTATGAGAAAGAGAGAGAGAGAATGAGAGAGCAAGCTATTTTCATATATACTTTTGTTAGAACTTTCCTTAATTTTATAGTTGTTCTGTACCGACATGCCCTAAATGGCAACTTTTTATGGACTTGAAGGGAGTCCAGATCATGGTGATGTTAATGCTGTGTGTTTCCCATTATAGGGAAGCCTCTGTGCCTGAGCAGGACTTTGAAATGGGTGGATGCGGATAGCAACCCAGGAATGATTTGCTCTCTTCCCAGCTGTCACGACTAACCCAGCATCCTGCTTCTGCTCATTGATGGTGTACCAGCATCACATGTATATTCCTTAATTCTGTGGAGTCATTACCTTGAAACTTTTTTGTGCTGGTGAACAGTATGTCCAACACACACACATTTAGCCTCAGAGATCAGCTCAGTCCTACGGTTACCCATTCATTCGTTCATTCATTCGTTCATTCAGTGTGCTTACTTATACACTCCCTCTCTATCTTATGGATTATTTTATAATGCTCCAGGTTTGATCTAAAGTCACATTTTTCTGTGATGCTCATTGACTTTTTTTTCTAAACAAAATGTAGAAATTTATCTTTAATGTTTAAAAATTGGAGTTCTTAATCCTGAATTGCCAGGTGTTTTGGGTTTTAAGGTTTCAGTGGTTATAAGCAGCACCTTTGCTGCTATTTTAGAGTTTGTTAGTATTCATGAAGGAGTTTTATAGTTTTAGGGGAATTCATATTCCATAACTTTATAATAAAAAATTTATATCAACTGAAGAGAATCTGATGAATCCCAGTAAGTCTGTTAAGCTGCATTCTTACAGCTCTAAAAATATAAGTTCAACATCCTAAACGTTGGCTTTGTAGCTTTTCATATGGCATTAAGTTTCTGTCCCTTTAGGACTGAGTGTGGTGGTGGGAGCTTGGGCTCTACCACCTTCCTGCGTGGGTTGGAACCAGTGACTGCTGCATGAGATAGGATGCTTTGGGGTGCAAGTGACAGAAATTCTAAACTGCTTGAACAATAAACGAATTAATTACCTTACCTAGCCAGAAGTTCAGCGGTAGTGTGGGCTTTAAGTACTTGATGGTTTATGGCTTCATGAAGTTGTCATGTACTCATTCTCTCCACTGTGCCAAATTTAGCAAGTAAAAATACAGGGCACCCGGTACATTTGAATTTCAGATAGGAATGTAGAAAATTGTACTCTTTTTAAGTACAAAAGTGTGTTCTATGTGATTTTGGGGATAGGCTTATATTAAATTATTATTCATTGTTTATCTAAAATTCAAATTTAGCTGGACATTCTGTATTTTAACTGACAACTCTACCATTTTGCCGATTTTAACTCGTCAGCTTCCTCTTACATTTAGTATCAGCTTCCTTCTGTGTCTGGTTCCCCTCAGGAGAAGCAGAAAATGCAGCCATGGAAAATAAGTCCTCCTCTGCAGTCTGGCTGGGCCAGTATAGGACTTGCTCCCATTCCTGGTCTAGTAACACGCACCAGGGGGCTGCTGTACACTCATCGGCTTTGATTCGTCACTTGGGATGGAAGGGCTATTAGAAGTTAGCAATGATGCCCACTAAACTAAATGTGAGACTTTGGGAAGGCTCCTTTGAGTGTCTTGAGTCTCAACTTTCTCATCCATAAAATGGGGATAAATATGGTACCCAATGCATAGTGTGGCTGTCAGGATCAAATGAGACAGTGCAAGTAGAGGCCTCAACACAGTGCCTGGCACGAGGTCAGCATCCATCAATGTTTCTCACCTGCTGCTCCTCCTCGTCATCTCTTTTTTAAACAATTGTATGTTAGCAGGTTGATTCTGTCCAGCACAGCTCTTGGCTGTCAACAGGACACACTGCCCTTGTTGGTACTCTTTTGGTTGCAGTTGCCGCTCAAAGTAGCTTGCTCCAAAGACAGGTTCTGGCTCATAGATTATGGGAAGAGTTGGTTAAGCATTCCCCGTGGAAGACAGAAGTGCCACTGGGCCCCAGGAATAGCCACAGCAGGGCCCAGGAGCCCAGGCCTCTCGTCAGCTCTCATCTCCTTTTCTGCTTCCTCCTCAGAAGCGGAGATGAGATAGAAAACAATATCACATTCTTAGTCTTTGAAACACTTTATATTTTTCAGAGACCATGTATATATGCATGCCTGCATGCAGTCTCCCAGCATTCTTCTGAGGTCACACTGGGAGGTATGTCTTTCGTAAAGGCACAGGGCAGCATCACAGTTAGCAATAAATAAAAAGAGTTTAGATTCTGGCATTTAATTGCATGGATTCAAGTTTAACCTTTCCACTTGCTGACTGGGCAAACTATGTCACCTTTCAAAGACTCAGTTTCCTCCTGTTCATAATGGACATGATATTGAGATGTGTTTGTAAAGCTCTTATGAGGAATTGATGTGACAGTGTTTGTGCTGTGCATTGCCTGTTAGTTGGAGAGTGCTCAATGAGTATTGGATATTTTAAATTTTTCCTGTGACTTATCCAAGGGCACATAGCAGGTTAATGGAGAAGGCCTAGAATCCAGACCCCTCTAGCTTGTAGTTTGGTGGTCTAGTTCAGGCTTTTTCTTCTATATTCGATTCCTAGACTGTTTGAGCTGGGGAAAACCGTAGTCAACATTCAGTCCAGCCCATTTTGGAAGTCTAAAGATTAAGTGTCTTGTTCAAAGCCTTCTCCCTAGGAGTGGTAGAGAACCAGAAATTGAGCTAGAAATTTTTACCTG